GCTCAAACAATCTGCCCGCCTCGGCCTCCCAGAGAGGTAGGATTACAGGCGTGAGCCACCGCGCCCGGCCCCCTCCCTGTTTTTGTCCTGGTAAAACCAAGGACGACCCCAGAAGTGCTGGAGACCTGACCCACATTTTGTCCAGGCAATTGTGGAGGGCTTTATGGAATTATTGGTTTGTAAATAAGGGCCCCAGAGAAAGTGACCACACTGGGTCTCACTTGAGAACGTCCAGGTGGTGGTTGCAAGGTTATTGGGGCTCAGAACACATCACCCCAAAATATTTCTCTTTGGCATATTGATTATTAGCTTGTTCTTTTGAGAAGCTATAGGCCAAGTAGTAGCTCTGAAAAGCTGCTCTTTTGTTTATTTAATTATTTATTTTTAGACAGTGTTCAAGGATCTAAAAGCTGCCCTTTTGTAAAGGAAATTTATATCTGCGAAGGACATTTTCATTAGTCAAGGCACCTTTACCAGGAAGAAAGCTATTTCCCAGCAACTTTTATCACCTGAAAGACTCTTATCTGCCTAATAAGGCAACCTTTATTCCCCTAACATTTCCTCCCCTCACTCTCGCCTCATTTGTCTCCCAACAGCGCCCCCGCCCCTGCGCAGAAGCCCCACGACACTATTCCTCTTCGCAGTTGACGATGTTATATAAGCTTCAACCATCCGGCCCTTCTTTGAGACTCATATTTTTGTGGGACTCCCAAGTATGTGCACGTTATTAAAATTGTTTTTGTCCTATTAATCTATTGCATGTGAATCTAATTCATTTGTAGCCCAGAGAACCCAGGAGGGTGCAGAGAAGCCATTTTCTCTCCCCCACGGGTGGGAAAGGAGCTTGGCAGGGGCTGGAAGGGCCTCCAGGAAGGACAGACCGAGTGGGAGACAGATCGCTGGCTCCAGAGCTAAAGCATTGAAGGACAAAGGCCACGGCTTGGTTTCCTGTGCTGGGGCTGCTGCATGGGAAGTTTGCCCTTCTGTGAGAAAGGATCTAGGTCTCCAACTCTGTCTGCATGAGGAGAGGGATTTGGAATGTAGCACAGCAGGGTGGTGAATGCAGATGGTACGCTGGCCCAACCATTAGCACCTCTGTTTATGTCCTAGAGGGAGGGCTACATCCACCCAAAGGTAAAGCGCTGAGGTGCTTCAACGCACGGATAACCGCCTCCTGAGTGACTGTGGGCAGAGTCTAAAGTGCAAGAGGAGGGTGGCTCTCCCCACCCCTGTGTGGGTTTTTTCTGGAGCTAAGCTGGAAGGATCACAGACATGTTTCCACCACGTGGCAAGATGCCATCGCAACACCCCCGAGAGATACGTGGTGTCAGCAGCTGACCAATTGACCACAGGCACGAGCCACAGGCACGAGCCACAGCCACTCGTGGGCACAGGTGATGCTGTTCAGAAATACTGTTGGAAACTTGGAGGACAAACGCATTCCATGGATTTCACAGATGGGGGCTGGGTCAGGGACTGCTGTTGGGTTTCCAGGACCTTACGTTACCCCTAAGCTAAAGTGAGGTTTGGGTTCCAAATCCCTTTTCCCTTTCTCAGTTTCATTATCTGTCTCTGCATGGCACCCACCGCTCTGTGACGGCAGGGGCCCCAGGTTTTGGTACTGGAGGAACAGCTCTGCGGAGTGCGCAAGGAACATACTTCTAAAGCATCAAGTTTAGGGCACTTGATTGGCCCTAAACTGAGGGATACCTCTAGGAATCCCAACCAGGAGGACAGGAACATGTGGCTCCGTTGTTGGACTTCACAATTTATACTATGAGGCAAATTTTGGACACTCCTCTTGGCATCGTAGGCATCTTAAACCCCTAAACTGGTTTTTCCACCACTAAATTGGGAGCCATTCTTTTTTTTCTATTTTAATTTTTTTTTTTTTTTTTTGTGGCCCAGGATTCAATTCAGGATTATATGTTGTATTGATCAATTACTTTATTGATTGAGACAAAGTCTCGTTCTGTTGCTTGGGCTTGAGTGCAGTGGTGTGATCATAGCTCACTGCAACCTTGAACTCCCAGCCTCAAGCGAGCCCCCGGCCTCAGCCTCCTGAGTAGCTGAGACTACTGCAATACACCACCACACATGGCTAATATTTTTATTTTTTTGTAGAGAATAGGGTCTTGCTATGTTGCCCAGGCTGGTCTCAAACTCCTGGCCTCAAGTGATCCTCCTACACTGCCTTCCCAAAGTGCTGGGATTATAGGCATGAACTACTGTGCCCAGCCTGGAGGCCATTCTTGACAACACTCTCTATTTTTCTCTCTAGCTGAGATTCTAAAGTAGTCATCTTTGACACATGTCTTTTCCTTCTCTTTTAATTTAGTCAAGCACATTGTTTATTTCTCCTTTGCAAATCTTTACATTCAACTCTTTTCCCATGCCCTGGCCGCCTAACATGCTGTGTTAGGTGTTGAGGATAAAAGGAAATATGAGATTCAATTCCCATGATCAAGTTGTCACTGAGTTCTGGGCAACATGTAAAGATGGAAAAATCTGCATTGTTTTGGTAAAATAGACTCTGAATGTGTTGGTTAGAATGTTTTTGGTTTTGCTCGGCTTGGTTTTATTTTTTCTATGATCAATACTTTGATGGGATGCTACCTGTTATTCTCAAGCCTTTTCTCAGGAAATACCCCCCAAAACCAACCAACAAAGACCCTTGAAAAATCCCTATCCATACAGCTCACTGTATCTCAGGCAATGAGCTAAGAGCTTTAACAAAAATTAGCTCACCTTATAAATAGAGCTCATAACCTAAAATGAAAAAACACCAAACTGTTTTTCTATATTCACTCAACAACTCTGACCCCAAATGTGGGGGCGAATTTATTCCCACACTGACCAACTCTCCAACATCAGCTGGGTGTCCTACGATTCAATTCAATTCTGACACTGTCTATC